AAATTGCATACTTTTAACAGTACGTCATTACATACTGACACTTCATGTGTAATATTATTTGTGTGTATATTGTACCAGATGTAAACAAGTAATAAAGAAAGGATTTATTAGGATTAATTTAATACTATAATGACACAGTATTTGGTTTTTGCATCTGTGTTTAGTCACAGGTGGTCAAGGAAATGACATATATACATATGTACATATTTAAACTATTAAATCTTTCGAGACTCTAAAACAATAATGTGCTAAAAACATTATCAATTGTTTCACAGACGTGGGTTATTAAACATGGGCTTCGAAAGTTCTTACATGTGTTAAATTTAATAATGTTTGAAAAAATTTATATTAATTATCTATCAAAATGTAAATAATTAATGTTTTGTGTGCAAATATGTGCAAATTGTGAAGAAAAAATATTATTGCTGCTTTGTATATAATATCGTAAGTACAAAGTATAAATTCTATTCAATTAATATCCATTAAATATATAATTTTAATAAAATTTATTTATATGTAATATATAATTTTAAAGAATTTAATGACAATTTTTTTATACTTTTAGCTTCACCATGTCATATTCTATCAATAGAAGACCTTTGTTAGAAGGTGTATCAGACAGTGAATTTGAAGATGATTTGGAAACTGAAGCTGATGATCCAAATATTTCTGTCCCAGATGAAAAACCATTTCTAAAACAATATGAACCTAGTGACAAGTAAAAATTGTTTAAAATAATTTAGCTTATTATTATGAATATATATTCATAAACATATATAAAATCTATATAACAGAAATTATTGTTACTTTTCAGATATAATCTTGCATACATTGTTTTTTATGTACTTGGTATAAATACATTAATTCCATGGAGCTTTTTTATCACAGCTGATGATTATTGGATGTATAAATTTCGAGAAATACATAAAAATTCTACAAAAAATATTAATTATAGTCATATGGAAAATTTAGAAAAGAAAACTGATCTCCAAGCTAGTTTCACATCGTACATAAGTGTAGCCAGTGCACTACCAAATACATTTTTTTTAATTCTAAATGCATTTATTAGTAAAAGGTAAGTAAAATGTAATTAAATTAAACTATGTAACAATAAGGGATTAATGCAACATTCAAATTAAAAGAAATTTTAAATTACATAAAAAATATTAAAATAACAGAATTTCCTTAAGAGTAAGAATGGTCGGCTCCCAGTGTACAATATTATTATTTTTTATTTTAACAACAATATTTGTTAAAATAAATACAGACAAATGTAAGTTAAATAAGTGAAAATACTTGATATAAAATTATTTATTTTACATTTAATATAAAATATTAATTTTATTTTTAGGGCAAGGAACATATTTAATAATTACTTTGACCACAGTGGCATGTGTTAATGGTACATCTTTAGAACTAAAATATTGTTGAATATTATAACAGTTAAATCACATAATATAGTGATATTTATTCTTATAGCTGCAAGTGCAATTTTTGGAGGAAGCTTAATGGGCATTGTTGGACGTTTTTCTCCAAAATATATAACTGCTATGTCAAGTGGACAAGCTCTTGGAGGAATTATTACTGCTACAGCAGAAATATGTTCCCTTTGGATTGGTGCTAGCCCTGTACTTTCAGGCCTGGTTTATTTTATAATTGGAGATGTTATATTATTTTTATCTTTATTTGCGTATATAATTCTAGAAAAAGCAGTAAGTAATTTAATATTTTAATAAGTATGTTATAATGATATTTGCTACACAGTCGTTTTATAAGTAGCTTATGATGATGATACACAAACGCATGAACAAATAATCTGTTATAAATAGAAGAAAAGACTTGAATACAATATTAATATGTATCATTTGCTTTGTTATAGGCATTTTTTAAACATCATATGGTAGAAAAATTACCTGAAAATGTAGAAGCAGATTATTCAATAACTGGAGAAGTAACTTTTCCTCAAGGAACTACAATATCTTATACACGTATTATTAAAAGAATTTGGCATTATGGTATTAATGTATTTTTAGTATTTTTGATATCCTTTTCTGTATATCCAGCACTTACTGTGTTAGTGGAAAGTCAATGTAAAGGCAAAGGTTATGCGTGGAATGGTAAGCTTTATTAAATTTAATATGATTATAAAATTTTTATATCTTTTATGTTTTTTAGATATCTATTTTGTACCTGTGGTGACTTACCTTATTTTTAGTTGTGGTGATTATACTGGCAGAATATTATCAGGCATTTTTCAATGGGTGTGTATAAATAATATTAGAACTCTAATTTTTTGTTATTATAATAATATTTCAATTCATATTTTAGCCAAAAAATAAACCATGGCAAGTCGTGCTTTTAAGTCTAACGAGAGTCATCTTTATACCAGCTTTTATATTTTGTAATGCTCAGCCCCGACATCATCTTTCTGTTTATATTCATAATGATCTTTATTATATTTTAATAACTATTGCATTTGCCATTAGTAATGGTTATCTATGTAATCTATCATTTATTTTAACTCCTACGTAAGTTATTATACATATATATTCATTCAATAAATTTTTATTAGTTTTGTACTAAAGATTTTTAAACAGGGTTGTAGATTCTCAAGAGAAAGAAATCGCATCTATTATGATAGGAGCTTTTCTTGGTATGGGATTGATATCAGGTTCTGCACTCAGTCTGTTCATGGTTAAAGCACTTTAATCATATAATTTGGACAAAAGAAATGATATAAATAAATATAAATAAACTTTCATCTCACTGCCTCCTATATTTAAAAAGAAGTAGGACAATGATGAGTCAAATCAAATTTTATTTTATACTTTGTGACAAAATTTATGAATATAATATTTACATATACATTGTTGTAAATTATTTTTGAAGCATTTCATTAATAAAACTTCATGAATATGTGAAATTATGTATAAAGTGGAAATAATTATATCAAATCTCATATAATGGATCTAAAATATATAATAGTAAAAACTTAATTATATGAAGACTTATAATCAGATATATATTTAATGTATTTGTAAGAAATCAAAGTGCAATAAATTATGATAAATCTTTTAATCTTTATTAATCTTTATTAAAATTCAAACTGTAATAAAATAATTTGATTTTAAATAAGTATTAACCATTGACTAATTTGCATAGACCGGACATTAAATGGAATTTTGTGTCCCAAGTTCTGAAATACCGACCAGAAAAAAAAATCATTGGTTTTTTAGCGTCCTCTATTCTTATACAACGGTGAATTGGAAAACTACATCAAACAAAATAATGCAACTTGGTTCAAGAAAATGATATCTTTTACAGTGTTGTCAATTGTATATCT